AGGGATAGTTAGAAACGCTGATCAGCTGCCTCCTGCACACCTCCTTCTGCGGATGTGCCCGCAACCAAGGTCCATGCCCTTGACCAGAATCGAACCCGGGACCTTTCAGTCCGCAGGCCGACGCTCTATCCACTGAGCCACGCCGGTTAGGGCATTTACTGAGGTCACATTGTGTAATGACGACGCACCTTCGTACGCCCTACGGGGTGCCCCGCCCCCTCCATCACCCTCTCGGCCGTTTTGGATGCCAAGGAGCCAAGGAGGGAGCCCCCTGTTGTCCTGCGATCGAGTCTTTTACTTCCCGCGTTTCCACAGAATCCAACGGACTCCGCCATCGACAGGCGGGTGAGAAAGAAAGAAAAGACGGATGCTTTTTTTTTTTAACCTTGACACACGCCTCCTCCCATGTCCTCCTGCCGCCTCCCGTCGGCCCCGGGGTCTTTCCATTATTTCTGTGATGGGCGCCGAGCTCTGATTTCATACCTCATTGGTTTCCCAGGCGCCGCCGACACGGGACCCGGATGGGGGGGGACGAGGCTTCTCCCCATTCCCATCGCCTGGTGCGGGTCAGAGAACGGCCGCTGTGCCCTCCGGCCTGGTCCCCGCGCCCCGCCCCTGGGCCAGAGGGCGCCACGGGAGCGGCCACGTGGCTTCCAAGAGATCCCCTGGCCTGCAGGCCAGCGCCGAGGCCCGCAATCCGGGCCTGTGCTCTGACCGGGAATCGAACCCTGACCTCCTGGTGCATAGGTCAGCGCTTAACCCCTGGGCCACGCCGGCTGGGTCAAGAGCTGGCCCTTTCTTAGTCAGTGAATCCTCCCGCACGCTCACGAGATCAGAATGACCATCTACCCCCCTCCCCCTCCCCTCCCCCTCCCCCTCCCTCCTCTCCCCTCCCCCTCCCCCTCCCCCTCCGCATCCATGTGGGCGCTTCGTGTCGTGCCTTTTGCTCGGGGTCGGCAGCGAGCCCCTTGGAGGACATGCGTGGACAGTGTGAGGACGCAGCTGAAGCCGCACCCTCCCACCGCGCCTCCCCACTTCGGCTCAAAACCCAGAAACCTGAGCAGCTTTCCCGCCTCTGCCAGCAGGAAAGGCCGGCTGCCGCCGCCAGGGGGCGCTGCTCGCCCTCTAACCATTTGCAGGCGACTCGCCCCTAAACTAACGGAATCGGCGGCGCTTTGTTCCAAGCGGCAGCACGGCCCAGTGTGCGCGGCCCCCCGTGGGAAGGTCAACCCTTTTTTTTTCTTCTTTTTCCTCCTTTATTTTGGTTTTGATCATCCGAACGTGTCAGGGGAGACGGGAGCTGAGCCTGAGAAAGATGATGGGGAATCACCTGGAGAACTGGGTGTCCGTCCGCCCAGAAACCGGCTCCCCTGTCAGGGGTCGGAGGTCGGCCAGGAGGGGCTGGAAAAGGCCAGGGGAGCCCTGGCCTGTGCGCTCAGTGGTTAGAGCCCCGGCCTGCAGACCTGAGGGTCGTACGTTCAATTTCCGGTCCAGGGCAGGTTCCTGGGTTGCAGGTTTGACCCCTGCCCCCCTGTTGGGGTCCTGCAGGAGACAACCAATCAATGTGTGTCTCTAACAGCGATTGTTTCCTCTCTGCGCAAAGAAGCCCACACGCGCGCTCTACTCTCTCTCTCCCCCTTCTCCCCCTCTCCTCCCTCCTCTCTCTCTCCTCTCTCTCCTCCCTCTCTCTCTCTCTCCCTCTCTCTCTCTCTCTCCCCCCCTCCTTCTCTCTCTCTCTCTCTCTCTCTCTCTCTCTCTCTCTCTCTCTCTCTGTCTCTCTCTCTCTCTGTCTCTCCCTCTCTGTCTCTCCCTCTCCCCCCGCCTGGGAAATCCCACAGCTTACCCACTCCCTTTTCGCCCACCCTCCCCACAGCCAGTCCCCTCACCGGGACCCTCCCATCATTCGGCCTCATGTTTATTTGTAGAGGGTGCGTTCACTGTCCATTTTCTTTCGTCTCCAAGGCCAGTGATCGGCAAACTCATCCGTCCACAGAGCCAAATGCCAACAGGACAACCACTGACATTCCTTCGGAGAGCCACATTTTTAAACGTAAACTTCTTCCAACGCCACGTCTTCAGCACAGACTCGCCCAGGCCGTGGCGTTTTGTGGAAGAGCCGCCGTCCAGGGGCCAGAGAGCCGCAGGTGGCTCCCGAGCCGCGGTGTGCCGGCCACGGTCCTAGGACCTCAAAGCTGCCAGTTAAGGATCATCATCTGTTTCTCTCGCCGCCGGAACCCACACCGGGCCGGATCCACGGTGAGCGATAGACGGGAGTCTGCGGAGGGACTAAATAAAACGCGGTGAGCGCCAGCGGAGAGGGTGTCTGTGTGTATATTCAGAACGTGCTGGCGGGGAGCGTTAAAACATAGTGCCTCCCCCCTCCCTCGTCCCTCCCTCCTTCTCTCGCTTCCTTCCTTCTTATTTCTCATAGGAAGTTCGGCGTGAGGCCTGCCCATGACCATAGCCGCCTCGTGAGGCCAACACATAGCCCGTGCCGCCCTCGTCCTCAGCCATAACAGCCCGGACCCATGAGACCTCCCCGAGCCACGGTCTGCACGCTGCTGCTGCGCCCCTCGCGCCCGGCCAGACCGGGAACCAGGACCTGGAGCCTGAGCAGCAAGAACCCTGCAGTTCCTCTTGGACTTGGGGCCCCGGGCAGCTGGCGAACAGACGGTTCCTCTCCCCAGTCACCCCCACCCCCATCCACCACGCTAATGCTCTCCGGGTGCCCGGAGCGGGGAGGCCCGCCCCGGCTCTGAGGGCGTCCTCCGCCTCTGAAGTTCGGGGTGAAGCTCGCGGAAGCATCTGGAAGTGATTCCAGCGCAGGGATTAACGACGGTGGCGGGTTCAGTGACTCGGGAAGCGCTGAGCCCAGGAACCACCACGCTCACAGCTCTGTGTGGGTTTTCCTTTAAAAAAGAGAAAGGTCGCCGAGATCGGTTTGGCTCAATGGATAGAGCGTCGGCTTGGGGACTGTAGGGTCCCGGGTTCGATTCCGGTCAAGGGCATGTACCTTGGTTGCGGGCATATCCCCGGAAGTGGGTGTGCAGGAGGCAGCTGATCGATGACTCCCTCTCATCGATGTTTCTAACTCTCTATCTCTCTCCCTTCCTCTCTGTACAAAATCAATAAAATATATATATTAAAAAAAAATAAAAAAATAAAAAAGAGAAAGGTGACCTGACCGCCTCGGCTCTGTGACCGGCCTGGTCCGGTGTGCAGATGTGATTGATGTCTGGAGGGGCCCGGGGTGAGGGCTGCAGAGGGAAGCGCAGGCCCCCAGGGTGGAAGGAGCGGGCAGGAGCCCCCATCTCCGGGCTCGGGGGGCCTCTGAGCCCGGGACCCCGCGGGCAGCAGCCGCCTTCAGACAGAGAAAGGCGTCTGCCTGGCCGCAGCCTCTGCTCCTTTCTTCCTCCTCATTGTCAATGGTCACATAGTGCCATGTGGTGCGTCTGCTTTCCCTCTTTTAAAAAAAAAAATATTTTTATTGATGTCAGAGAGGAGGGGAGCGGGAGGAGAGAAACATCCATGCGAGAGAGAATCCCGGGCCGGCCGCCTCCCGCACGGCCTCCTGGTTCATCGGTGGACACTCACCCCCTGACCACGCCAGCCTCCAGGACACACCAGCTCCCCCCACAGGCCGAGCGGGTCCCAGCGGCTTCTCCACCTCCGACACCAGGCGCCCGTGGTCCTGGGGAGGGACCCCCGGCTCTTGGTTCCTCCCCGGGGTGCAGGCGCGGCTGCGGGAACAGACACAGCGGACCCGGCTCCCTCCCGCTGTCATTTGTCAGCCTGGGAGTCACTGGAGAGTAAACATTTCTCATTTAAATATTTCCGGCCTCGTAGGCGAGAAATACAACAGATCGATTACTTCCGTCTGAGAGGGCGGGAGCGGCCGGTCCTCCCTCCTCCCGCCCCCCCTGCTCTGTGCTCCCCCCCAACCCCCGCCCCCCGCCCCTCCCCCGCCCCCCCAAATAGAACCACGCCTTTCCCTTTGGCACCGAACAGTGCCCGCTCCGCTGAGAGGGCAGAGCAGGCCCTGGGCCGGTCTCCACGGCTTAAGTAATAAAAAATAAAATAAAATATGAAAGGGGGGGCACTGGGCCCGCCGGCCTGGCTCGGGGGTGAGCGTCAACCTAGGAGCCAGGAGGTTCCGGTTGGATTCGGTCAGGCCCACGTGTCCGGATTGCGGGCTCCATCCCTGGTGTGGGGCGTGCGGGCGGCCACTGACCATGTTCTCTCCTCAGTGATGTCTCTCTCTCTCTCTCTCTCTCTCCCTTTCTCTCTGAAGTCTATAGAAATGTATCACACACACACACACACACACACACACACACACACGGAGCGGCATTCCAACAATAAGCAGGACCCAGAGTGACAGAGGACCTTCCTTTCACCCCCGCGCCCATCTGTGTGCGAACATGCGTGTACATGCATGTATATGTGTGTGGCCCGGCTTTGCACTGCTCTGTGTGCTGCTGTGACCCACCCAGGGGATCTTTCCGCACCAGCTGCGAGGGACTTTGTAATTCCACATTCCCTGGCTCCCAAAACAAACAGAAGCCACAAAAACACCAGAAAACAAGTGACCCCCCACCGGAGGCGCGGGGAAGGGTCCCGCTCCACCCTGGGCACCTGCGCAGGGGCCGCCGGGACGCGGAGGCGGGAGGCTGCAAACGGGGGGCTGCCCGCGGCCCTCCCCTCCGCGCCTGCTCTCCCTCGCGCCGGCGGGGGGCGCCCTTTCTCTTCCTCCTCCGCAGCCGCTGGTCCCGGGGCGGGGCCTGCGGGGGGCGGGCCGGGGGCGGGCCTTTGGGGGCGGGCCTTGGGGGGCCCGGGGCGGGCCTATGGGGGCGGGCCGGGGGCGGGGCCTTGGGGGGCCCGGGGCGGGCCTTTGGGGGCTGGCCGGGGGCGGGCCTTTGGGGGCGGGCCTTCGGGGGGCGGGCCGGGGGCGGGCCTTCGGGGGGCGGCCCCGCCGTTGCCGCAGCCGCGGAGAAAAGTTGTCGGGGCCGGAGCGGAGCCGCTGCTGCGGGAGAGGAGCATCCGGCGGGAGGGCGCCGCCACCGGAGCCGCACCGCGCGGCCCACGCGCAGCCCCGGGACATGGCGCGGCCGGCGGGGCCGGGGGACGGGCGGCCGGCCGCCTGAGCGGGACTCGGGATGCGCTCCGACGGCGCGGCCCCCGGGCCGGTGGCGCCGCTGTGCGGGCTGAGCCTGGTGCTCGGCGCGCTGCTGGGCGGAGGTAAGGCCGGGCCGGGGCGGGGGGCGGAGGTAAGGCCGGGCCCGGGCGGGGGCGGGGGCGGGGGCGGGGGCGGGGGGGCGGGGGGACGGAAGGTGGGGGCCCGGAGGCATGTGTCGGGGTGCATGTGCGTGTCCCCCGGGGAGGGCAGTGGCGGGCGCGGGGCAGCCCCCTCTCCGCTGCGCCCCGCGGCTGTGCGTCTGGAGCGAACGGGGTTCCGAGCGGATCCGGGAGCTTCCGGGGGGCGTGGCTGAGGGGCGCCGCGTGTGTCCCCCCAAACCCGGCGCCGTGAGACCCGGATCCATTGCGATCCCGCGCGGACGCGGGTGGGACCCGCGGCTCTGCGGCCTCCGCGCCCGCCCGGCCCGGGACCGGCCACCGGGAGGCCGAGCGGCCCCGCGCCCCCGGAGTGGCGGGACGGGGACCCCGGGCACCGGGTTGGGTAGAGCCCGGGGTGGGGGCGCGTGTGGGACCAGACCGCCCTCCCCCGCGGTCCGGGCCCCCCGCTCCGGGTCCTCCCCTCCGTGATGGGAGCCCCGTCAGCGAAGGCGTTCGGGAGGCCGCCGTCGCTGTTGTCAGTATTATTATTGTTATTGTTATTATTATTGTTTGCGGGCGGCCCGGGGGCTGAGCGTGGAGCAGCGGGCGCGGGGTCCCCGGCGGGTCCTCAATGGGACCGGAGGGCGCCCCCTGCCGCTGCCCCCGGCCTGGGTGGCGCCCCCCGGGGACCCGGGAAACCCCCTGCGCCTCCGGCTGGGGAGGCCCCGGCCGGGGAGGCCCGGGAGGACCCCACGATGGGCCCCGCGCCGCCTCCAGGCCCGGGACGGCCTTCCCGGGGCCGTGCGCCTCGGACCCACCGCCGGACGGAGCTGCGCGGGAGCCGGGCCCCCTCCCCGGGGCGGCCGGCGCGTGCGGGTCCGGAAGGGGCTGGCGACCCAGTCCCGCTCGGCTCGGAGGGTGGACCTTCCCGGCGGCCGGAGCCTTCGTTCTGTCATGGGCTCCAGGTTCGAGCCTTTCCGGGACTCAGTTTCCCCAAATGGAAACGTCCTTCCCCAGCGCCTCCGGACGCACCGGGCACCTGCCGCCGGAGGGGGCGCCTGCAGGCGTCTCCCCGCCGCCAGGGGGCGCTGTCGCCAAGTGCGCCCTCTGAAGGGTCAGGGTGTTTTTTTGTTTGTTTTAAAATATATTTTATTGATTTTTCACAGAGAGGAAGGGAGAGGGACGGAGAGCTAGAAACATCGATGAGAGAGAATCATCCATCAGCTGCCTCCTGCACGCCCCCCACTGGGGATGTGCCCGCAACCAAGGCACATGCCCTTGACCGGGTGGAATCGAACCCGGGAGCGTTCAGTCCGCAGGCCGACGCTCTACCCACTGAGCCACACGGGTCAGGGCTTCTCCCGCTCTTGTTGGTTCGTTTTAAGACTCGCTGTGAGAAGGTCCCCGGGTGGTGGATGGCGGGTCGGGCCGGGCAGCCCGAGCTCGAACCCACAGCCACGGCCGTGTCAGCGCCTCCTGAGCGCCTTCGCCACCGAGGGGGCCTTCGGAGGAACCGGGTGTCCCTCGCCGCGGCCTGCCAGGCGGGTTAACACACAGGCGCCGTCGCACAGTAACTGGAGGGGTTAACGGATGAGGGCGCGCGGATGGATGGTGCTCACAGCGGCTCTGTCTGCCGGCAGCGGGTTCGGGGAGAGTCTGTCCGGGCCCCTGAGCACCGAGGGCTACGTCTGGGCGGATGGAAACACCTGCCCCGCGGTCGGCAAACCGCGGCTCCTGAGCCACACGCGGTTCTCTGGCCCCTGGAGGGCGGCCCCTCCACAAAACACCACGGCCGGGCGAGTCTGTGTGGAAGACGTGGCGTGAGAAGACGTTTACGTTTAAAAAACGTGGCTCTCCGAAGACATGTCCATCGTGGTGCTGTTGGTACTTGGCTCTGTGGTCGGATGGGTTTCTCTTATAAAAATGTATATGTTTATTGGTTTCAGAGAGGAAGGGAGAGGAAGAGAGATAGGAACATCGATGATGAGAGAGAATCATGGACCGGTACGGTCATTTCTGTCAGCCTGACGTTCCTCTGTGCCCCTGCATCGCCCCTCCTCCCCTGCCCACAGGCCCCGGCCGCCACTCACCTGCTCTGTCCTCATAGCTTTGCCTGTTCTCACAATTCCCATAAAAATGGTGTTGTGCAGGGGCCCTGACCCGTTTGGCTCAGTGAGCAGAGCGTCGGCCTGTGGGCTGAAGGGTCCCGGGTTCGATCCCGGTCAAGGGCATGTACCTTGGTTGCGGGCATATTCCCGGTGGGGGAGGGTGGGGTGCAGGAGGCAGCTGATCGGTGTTTCTCTCTCCTTGATGTTTCTAACTCTCTATCCCTCTCCCTTCCTCTCTGTAAAAATCAATAAAATATATATTTTTAAAAAGTCAGAGACCAGGGTCTGGCTGTAACAGGGAAGGCCTGCTGGGTAGGACCGGCTCCCGACCACGGAGCGAACGATCGCTGAGATACGGGGCGGCCGCCAGGGGTGCCTGTGTCTGAGGGGATGGTGGCATCATGCCTACAGCGCGGTTGGGCGAGGCTGGATCCAGAGGTCGCGGGTGGCACCCTCTGTCTTCCTCTCCTCGGCTCTGCCTGTCCGCACCGCGCCGGGGCCCTGTGAGGCCCTGTGGGGTGGCCCTTGGCCGCTCCGGGTTCGCACCCTGGAGGGAGGGCCACTCTCCCCTCCCCCAAACCCCGCAAACCCGGCCCAGGCCGCGCTGGGCCCCCCGGGCCCTGCCTTTGCCCTCTGTCCCGTTTCTGAGCCCATCGGCCTGGTTGGTAAGAGACGGGGTGCTCTCCTTATTCCGGTGAGGAGCCGGGGGGGTTGTGGGGTGCAGAGGAACATTGGGGTGCTCCTACCCCCCCCCCCCAAAAAAGGTGAGCGATTGGAGCCAGGGAAAGAAACCCAAACGATCAATGCTCCTCGGTCTCCGGATTCAGGTGCGCGAGCCACACAGCGGGAGGGGGGGCGGGGGGCAGCCGGGGAGAGCAGGGAGGCTGTGCAAATTGAGTCTCTCTCCTCCCTGACGTCCCCCGGGCCGGCGTGTGAGCCGCAGGCGCGCGCAGACACGCGCTCCTAATTGCGTTTGTGCCATACCTGCCGAGCCGGGATGAGCAAACACCATCCATCACCCGCCTGTCAGCCCCGCTCCCCCCTGGCTGTCAGCGCGGAATGAGACAGTGCTGGTGGAGGGAGGACGGCGGGAGCGGGTCTCCGTGAGGCCGGGACCCCGGCGAGGGGAGGGCCCAGTCTCTGGCTCCTGGGCCCCCGGAGCCCCCCTTCGGCGGTCGGTGCCGTGGGTCTGGCAGAACGTGCCTCTCAGAGTCACCGGGGAGGTTCCGGTGGGTTAAGAACATGTTTTTGGCTCTTCCCCCCGCACCCCCGTCCACCCCAGCCCAGTTGCCCACAGTCCAGATGGACCGGAATCAAACCTGGGCCCCTTCGGTCCGCAGGCCGACGCTCTATCCACTGAGCCACACCGGCCGGGCCCAGCTCTCCATCTTGAGATGGAGACACGTTTGCCCTGGAGGAGAAATGGATGCTGTGGGCCGGGTGGAGCGATGGCCTCCGTCAGGGCTCGAACCCACAACCTCTGACCGTAGTGAAGGCTCTCGTGTGTGTGTGTGTGTGTGTGTGTGTGTGTGTGTCCCCCACATCCTCGTCTCCTGCACACACGCCGCTTTCTCTGTGTCACGTGGGCACTGCCTCCGTGGGGGGCTCCCAGGTGCCTCCGTCCGGCTAAGCCCCGCCCTTTCCGTTTCTCCTGTCAATTAACTGAGCCTCTGACCAATGACGTGCTGGCGTTGGGTGAACGCTGGTGGGTTTTTTTGTTTGTTTTTTAAATATATTTTATTGATTTTTCACAGAGAGGAAGAGAGAGGGATAGAGAGTTAGAAACGTCGATGAGAGAGAAACATCCATCAGCTGCCTCCTGTACACCCCCCACTGGGGATGTGCCCACAACCAAGGTACATGCCCTTGACCGGAATCGAACCTGGGACCTTTCAGTCCGCAGGCCGACGCTCTATCCACTGAGCCACACCGGTTTCGCATGCTGGTGTTTTTAAGGAAGGATGTGCATCTGGCCGTCAGCAGCCGGCTCTGAGCGGGGTTTCAATCACGTGATGGATGTTTGTCCCAAACTCATCAAACGCTGGAATTAAGAACCATGAGCCCGCCGAAACCTGTGGGCTCAGTGGATAGAGTGTCGGCCTGCAGACTGAAGGGTCCCGGGTTCGATTCCGGTCAAGGGCATGTGCCTTGGTTGCGGGCACATCCCCAGTTGGGGGTGTGCAGGAGGCAGCTGATCGACGTTTCTCTCTCATTGACGTTTCTCTCTCATTGACGTTTCTAACTCTCCATCCCTCTCTCTTCCTCTCTGTAAAAAAATCGATAAAATAAAAATAAAAAAGAATGATGAGCCGGGCCCCGTGGCTCCGCGTCTGAGCGTCCACCATGGCCCAGGGGGTCAGGGTTCGATTCCCCGTCAGGCACAGGCCCGCGGTGCAGGCTCCATCCCCATGGGGGGCGTGCAGGAGGCAGCTGGTCCACAGTTCTCTCTCATCGTTGGTGTTTCTCTCTCTCTCCATTCCTCTCTGAAATGAATGAAAACATTAAAAAAAAAAAGCAATGGGAAAATTACCCCCGGCTGCGGGGAGGGAATCTGTGGCTGCGAAGAAAGGAAACCGGGGGCGGAGCGGCTCCGGGCGCGGGTCCGAGGGGGAGGGACCGTCCGCCCGGAAGACAAGGGGAGACGTTTGGTTTTGAACAATGAAAACTCCGACCCAGGACCGCAGAGTCCGGAACAGATGGGGTGGTTTGCACAAACGTTTTGTTAGAAAAATAAATAAATAAATAAAAACAAGCCTTCAGAGTGTTCATGTAACTACTTTTATTTTATTTATTTTATTTTATTTTATTTTATTTTATTTTATTTTATTTTTTAATCCTCACCCGAGGGTATTTTTC